CTAGGAGTGATGCTAATGGTACTACTAGGAGTAATGCTAATGGTACTACTAGGAGTAATGCTAATGGTAATTTTTTTGCAGAAAATATTTGGATGTCTAAAGGATAAGCTATAAATATGGAGGTAATGTTTTTTTTCGTCTTGTCTGTGTTTTTTTTTTTTTCTTCTTTAGGTGACCCCCAGTGACCGATACCATCTCATGCCTATCATCACCCCTGCCTACCCTCAGCAGAACTCCACCTATAACGTGTCTGTGTCCACCCGCACTGTCATGATGGACGAGTTTAAATGGGGTCAGTTAGATGTAGCTTCCGTGCACAGCTGGCTATGCCTGTCTTATCCCCCATATACCGTGACATACCGTTAAAGGCATGAGAGCTGCAGGTGTCTGACTGGCCTTCGCAGGACCCCATGCTCAAGTGTCATCCCCTCTCTTGCAGGTCTTGCCATCACAGAAGAAATTATGCTGAATAAAGCAGACTGGTCCAAACTATTTGAAGCACCAAACTTCTTTCAGAAATACAAGTATGTATTAAACTGCTTATCCTGTTGGACACACATGGTGAGACACAACTATTTCAATAAAGATGTATTTCTGCAAAAAATACCCACACAATCTTTTAGTATATGTGACATGTTTTCTTTTTATTATTATTTTTCTTTTTTGTTTGTTGAATTTGTGATCCATTACATGTGGATATTAAATAAAGGCGTACATATTCAGACTCCCAGGGTTTTATTATGATTTCCAGAGGGGGGAAAGAATTTAATTGCGTTTTTGTTTACAATTCATTGTACATAAGATGGCCTTACTTTATAGTAATAAAAGGACATTTTTTGAAATTGGGGTTTTTAATGTCAGTATGTCAGCTGACTTTAAGGTAGGTCCAGTACTTGTACAATCTCATTAAACATGAGCCTTGCTTGTTTTTTTATATACCTGTGCCTTATACTGTATGCAATACCAAATAAAATGCTTTAGTTCACAATTTGCACTATGTATTTCTTGTTAGTCTGTTTCTGTAGATGCTTCCGGTTTTTCCTGATAGATTTGTTTTTATTGATCCAATGACAGTACAAAGCCTGGTGGAAATATCGGAATTTTACTTTAAAAGCTGGTGAAATTCCCATGTATACCCACAAATACCTATAAATTACTGAAAACACTTAAATTATAGTTGTATCAAATCCTGTTCTATTTCTTCCGGTGATGTAGGTTTGACTGTGAAGTAAAGCTAGCTTTAGTGATATGTTCTTTCGTGGTGTTCAGTTTGGTGGGGGGTAGAAACGCGTTATAGTTAAGCTTTGCCCCCATCACAAACCTAACCTCAGAGTCACTCCCTTAGCTCCCATCCTAGGCAAGGTTGCTCAACGACTCATTTGCTGCTGCACTGTCTCTGCACATTTTGTACCTTGCACCATGAAAGGACTGCACTTTTCCTTTTTAGAAGCAGCTCTTTAAGAAGCTGCAGCATTCTCTGGCTGTGACTTGTGTATCTTGTGTATTAAACTAATGTTTAATGCTTTTCCTGGCTCATATGTGCTGGCAGGCTATGTGACATTGAGATACCTTTTCATCACCTGCTTGTGAGGTTAAACCCACATGGGTATTTTCTTTGTTCTGATCATGTGATTGGCCTGGTTTTCATTTAGTATGAAATGACTTCTTTAAAAGTTATCACCTAAATCTTAACAGAATTTTCACCCAGTTTGCTGATGATCGCTCACTTAGTTCCTGGGAATGGAGAAATGTTCTGCAAATAGAGAAAAAGCCAAGATCATTCTTAAGTATTTGGCAAATTTCTTAGCCTGTCTTATCGCCCATGAAAGAACATGGATATATCACCATAGTTCAAATGTAGCACTTAGCCCTGTTTTAATTTAATAAAGTCAAATAACAACATACATAACCTTTCCTTTTCTAGCTCGTCCCGTTCCCCACTTAGCGTAGCTGCTTCTTTCCCCCATGTTGTCTTTAGGAAGTGGTCTGCTTTCCTCAGGGTACATTCGTAAATGTCACGGTTGCCACTGTCAGCATTCCGTCTCCTCCCCGGTTCCTTCACCATAACGTTAAAAGAAGCACAAATTGTCCCTGAGTTTGTTCAGTTAGGCTTCCACCAGCATGGGAATTCATGTACCGTATATCTGTAATAAATAAATTATGTTTTTCTGTCTCGGACCTTTTTATTTGATGCTAAGCTCTGGCAGAAAATGTAGTTATTAGTGTGTGTTTTGCATTTTTAAATGAAAATGTTTGAAATACTAAATTCTTTGATATGGATGGAGGCATATAATAGTCTTTCTTTTGCTAATTGTAATTTTTAAAATGACAGCTGATTAACTGTGAATTGCTTGAAAGCATTTGATAGGCTAGTTAATATTCCTTTTGATACTCATATATTCAGCTCGGGGTTTGTATTTGCTGTGGTATTTTACCCATCTGTCTTACGATACCCTACCTTCTGTTTACTTATTTGACCAAAGTGATCATTTAGAAATGTTGGATTTCCATCAGAAAGCAATATTTTGCTTCGCTGAATTTAATTGGCTCTCGCAGTACATTTTTCCAGTTAAAGTTAAACATCCTGCATGGTGAATTTTCCTATTACAAGCAGGCGAAACACAGCAAAGCTACCTTAAGGCGGCTGAAAAATCCAACAGTTTCAGTTCTATTAACCTGTTATTTCACCATCTTTTGTATTTATTTGATATTTTTTTCTGTCACTTAACAATAATGATAGCTGGTCTCTTTATTAAGGGTCTTGTCATAGACATGTCTGCTAGTGAAAAAAAATGAGTGGATATGTATGTCCAGTTAAGAGCAGGGCAATTCACTCTAGAATTTATTTTGCAGGACAATTCTTTCTCAGATGTAATTGACATATACCTGTGCTTATAGTCGTGAATTGTGATATTCACTGGAAGCCATCTACTTTTTCAGATGGCACGAATTCTTGTCTGACCCTCACACGAAAGGCTTGTTTTGAAGTGTAGCACTAAGTTAATCTTCCAGTCTTCCAGTACAATATTTTATCTGCATTGTGTCCACCCCCCCCCCCCCCCCCCCTTTTTAAGGAATGAATGTTTTTGTGGGTGATCAGGAAATGGTGTGTCTGGTATGCCTTCTTGCAAAGGGCTGCACAAGGCCTTGTAGGTCTCCCTCAGCTGGTTGGGCTTCCCCAGTTCCTCCAGCCATTGACCTATCTGTGGGTGAAGGGCCTCACCTTTCGTTTTGCTTTTGTTTAGAACTGACCTTTGTTTGCAGGACATAATGGCCTTGTTCTGTTTTTATGTTCCAAGGCATTATATTGTGTTGCTAGCAAGCGCACCGACCGAGAAACCACACTTGGAGTGGTAAGTACCTTCTGTGCCCTGTAACCCCCCCCACCTCAAAAAAAAAAAAAAAAAAAACGAGTAATTGCAGGGAGCAGTGGGAGTGAGTGATTGTCTCTTTGTCACTCCGGTATCATTTCAAGTGCTTTAAAGACTTTGTGATGTTAGATTTGTATATTCTTTTCCATTGTGTGATGTGACTCAATTAAGCCATGTCTCTTTTTAATTGGCGGTTAACGTCATCGTCGGCTCGCGGTTTTCAGCCGGCTCCTGCCTGCAGTTGCTGTTCGATGCGCCCGGTCAGCCGAGCTGCCTTAACACACTGTTTCGCCGGCAGGGTCGGCTTGGTTGAATCGAAAATCCGAATTCTCGTCGGAAACCTGGAGAAGAACGAGTTCATCACGCTGGCACATGTGAATCCGCAGTCTTTTCCAGGTCCCAAGGAAAGTGAAAAGTGAGTCCTGAGGTCACTGTCACCTTCGGTCCTGTAAGCCGTACCTGGACCTTGTGGCATCCGATATGACCTGACTATGTGAAATGCTTTATTACACGCGACTTGCATGTAGATTTTCGTTTGCCTATTTATCAGACATTTTTGTCCGAAGCGACGTCATGCATCACAAGCATTGACATCATTATATCTCCTTTCTTTGTCATTGTCCCATTTGGTTTTTGCAGAGAGGAATTCAGCACAATGTGGGTGATTGGCATTGTCTTCAAAAAGATGGAGGGGTCTGAGAATCTAAATGTGGACCTGACGTATGACATCCAGTCCTTCACAGACACTGGTGAGCCCCCATTCCCCCCCCACCCGGGAAACCCAATACAGGCTGTCTCCCCACAGGACACACAGGGCATCTGCGCACAGACAAGCATTTGCTTAACATTGCTGTCCCTTCTGGGTTTTGACCAGTTTTTAGTGTTTTAATTCAATTGACTTTAACTGAATTCATTAGCGGCTAATTAGCTTGCGTGTGTGTGTATAAGGTATGCATAAAGCTAGCACCACACACTCAATTTCAACAAATTGGCTCGTCCATGTGGAATTCTGGCTTCAGTTACTGTCATGTGCTATGATATAACATTTTGGGTGAGCCCCTTGGTTTATGACTTGTGCGTTAAGTCAAGAACCTGCCACCCATGCCATCTGTTTTCTTCCCTACCGAAGTCTACAGGCAAGCCATCAGCAGCAAGATGTTTGAGTCGGACATGAAGATCACGGCGATGCACGTGAAACGGAAACAGCTGCACCAGCTTCTGCCAAACCTCGCTGTTCACAAACGGCGTAAGGTGAGAAAGTGGACGGGTGGCTGCCCTGCCTCCGACAGCCCGTCCATCGCGCGTCTGTACATCACAGGTTCGAGTCCCATCCTAATCACACCAACCTATACCCTATCTCAGCTATTCGAATTCACACACTCAGGCTGGCGTCACACTGCATCCTCTTGGTAAAATCCAGGGCAGATGCCCTATACCAGCTGTGTTTGCTCGCTTCTGATCTCACCCCAGGGTTTTCTTAACCCCAAATCTTTGGTGAAGGTCTCAATCCACCAGCGGACCCAGACATGGTAAAAAGCATGCTTTTAATTCTGCTGTATGCCCGGCACGTTTTGGGAGGTACCTTTGAGGTTCTAAAGGTCAAATGTGATCCTGAAGGTCCTCATTCCTAGCCATTTTAAGACACCTGTTATTTAGTATGAACACAATCGGTCATGTTTCATGCGCGACTGAGGTTCCACATTTCTAAGACTCACTTCACTGTGTGACAAAAGGAAGGCAGTCATCTGACTCCAGCTCTGACCCTCCCCCTCTCCGACAGCACTCCAGTGATGGGGTACGTCTAGTGTCAGACAGCAGCCTGGACCTATCCCTGGATGGTGACAGCAGCATGTCTGTACCATCACCCACGGCCGCCCCCAAGACTTGCCCGCTCGTCCCTGCAGCCAGTCCGCCCAGGTGGGTCATGATTGCATTTTTTGAAACCACTAAATTCCCTCCATTTATATACACATCGGACTCTTAAGCTTCTAAATTTCTTATAGACTGTCTCCAATCAGTGATTAGCTAGGAAAATATTTTGGTGGTGGGTGCAGAAAATCTATTTGTATGACCGGCACTGGACGCCTGCTTTTCTCTGCGAAGAGGATGTGCTTTGTGATTTGAAACCGTGCACATTATATTAGTGCTAAGACTGCATGTCTACAGCACTAGCTTTTGGGCACGAGTTTGGCGGTTCTGTCAGCTGACTTTTGCTCATGCTCTGTCTGCAGCTTTAAATAGCCTTTCCTTCTCCATCCCCCCCCCCTTACCTCCCACCCCCGATTGACAGGCACAGTCCTCCAGCTCCCCCAAGTGGCCCCTCGGACACCCAGGCCACTGCAGATGCCCCCGGAGGTTTGTCACGTTGCTCTTGTTTTACTTTGCATATTCGTCTGAAACCCACCCCCCCACCCCCCCCCCCCCCCCCCCCCCCCCCCCCCACTATCATCCTACATGACAATGACCCTGTCACAGGACCCCTGGAGGGGACCAAGCCCCCCACGCCCAGACCCACCCTCAGTCGGCCCTCATTCTCCGGCCGGGCTGTCAGCTGCTCCCCTCCCTCCAATGGAAACCACCCCAAAAAAAGGCCCACGTCTCCCCCACCGGAAGAGAACGCCAAGAGGCCCCGTTTGGATGAGGTACACGCACCGGCGTTTTACGTTGACTGCCTTCACCACTGTGAGGAACATCCTCTAAAAAGCCACCAAACGCACAGACTCAGGTCAACAGGTGTCATACTAATTACCTACAAATTTCAATTCCACCTACAAGTAGTGAAGTTGGCTTTTTATTTGCGTGTTGTGTCTCCAGTATAGTTTAATGCATTGATGTGATTTAGTTCATTTGGCTCACTTGGTTTCTCATACATCTTGATACAGGTTTTGTTCGTTAATACTGGGTAGCTCCATGTGTTTTTGAGCTAGTTAATTATTGTCTCCCAGTTGGAATCACCCATCAATAAGATTCCCCCCCCACACCCCCCCATCATTTTTCCATTGATTGCCTTTGAAAATTGCCTGTTTTTTTCCAAAGCCCATTACTGATTTCACCATTACAATGTTGTCTTAACGGACGGGAAAAAGTCAGCCAGGGTCTGCAGCGCCTGCTGAAGGAACAGTGGGGTAGCCGTATTGTGAAGTGAGCTGCAGAGGCTCTCTTACCTTTTTACTGACTCTTCTGACAGGATGGGAGGCTGGACGCAGCCACATCTGGAGATGGCATGGCCGTGGGCGATGTGGGCGATGTGGGCGGCGTGGGCGGCGTGGCCACCGCACCAGTGGCAGTACCGAGCGTAAGCGCTATAATCTCATCCAAGTTTCCTGTCCCTCTTCCTGCCCTGTCCACCCTTAAACTTCCGCTATTCATTAAAACCTCATTTTTGGTAACGCTACGCTCGGCTTAAAAGTCAGACTTCCGTCAGTTGCTCTTGTCTCCCGCCTCTGAATTGTTTGCCACTCTGTCCTTCTGCAGAGCGATGAGGAAATGAGGGATTCTCAAGGTGAAGCCAAGGTGGAGACTGAAACCAAGGTCTGTCCCCAGTTCGCCACTTTGTGAAAAGTCACCCCTATCCTGCTTATCATTGGCTTTCAGTGTGCGGGGAATGAACTTCTGTCTGTGTACATAAACACGCAGCAGACTGCTGGATTTCCCTCGTCTTGAGGAGGGAGTTCATGTAAGGTGGGGATTTCAGATCGTCCTGAAGACACAAGTATTCTGGGGGCAGACAATGCGGCACAGTGACAAGAGTCCAGCTTTCTTCAGTGTCACTGCTTCATCCTGTCACCTTTCTCCTCTTCAGTGTCACTGCTTCATCCTGTCACCTTTCTCCTCTTCAGTGTCACTGCTTCATCCTGTCACCTTTCTCCTCACTGTAGGAGCCCAATAAAGATGAGCAAGCAGCGACCCTGGTGCCCATTTCACAGGTGAACATTCCGGGGCATCCGAGCGGTTACTCGGGGTAACCACACGGTGGGGGGGGGGTCAGATTCTCAGCTCTTATGAAGGTGCAGAATGATACAACTTGCGCAGTGATGTGTGGTTAAGGATTTGTAATGGCTATAGTGGCTGGGGGGGTACTTGTAATTTTAACACCTGTATTTCAACAGACTGAATAACAAAACACTTTAGACAAAGCAAGAAACAAAAGGAATAATAAAGACATATCATATAATGATATAAACATACATTGTATCCATCAAAACTCAATATATAATGTGTAGTTATCTGTTACTGTAAGGTAGCTTGGTGGCCTTTCATATTACTTTAGACTAATGTAAAACAAATTGATGACTTGCTGTTTGATTAAATAAGATGCTACGTCATTGCCCCCCCCCCCCCCATTTTTGCTCCTCCAGAGAATCTCCAGCACTGACCTCTCGGAAGGCCCCCCCCTCCCAGCCAATCCCATTCCAGTTGTGAAGAACTCCATTAAGCTCCGGCTCAGCAGGTAGAAATTGAGCCTCCGGATGGCTCGCTAGCAGGAGTAGGGATGCATCAGCACAAGGAGCTCTCGGCTCAGATTCCACACTTGCCCACAAGGGGGCAGTCCGTGCTGTGCACACTTCAAAGGCATTATCCTCCAGAACAGTAATTTTATACAATAGTAATAATGCACAACTACAATGTCACACCTTCACAGTGGTGCGTGTGTATATGCGTGAGAGCAAGGACATGGGTCCTTAATTGTTTACTCTTCCAGATTAGATTCTTACTGTGATTGATGTGCAACTGTTGTATGACTGTGTACTTTATTTCAAAATGAATGACCGCTTTTTTTCTTTTCTCTCCAAATTAAGAACAAAATAATAAAAATGGGGAAAAAAAATGTTCCCTTGCCCTCATAGCTTTTAAAGACATAATTGTGAAAACACGGCAAACATTAAGCTATGTTGTCATTTGTTTTTCTTTTGGTAAAAATTACAGTCGCTTCTACAATTAATTGGGGGAGTACTGGTCTGATTAAGTCACCTGCTTAAAGAGGAAAAAGGAGGCTGACGAGGTTTGTACTTAGGCTTAACGCAATTGGTCCATTGCCTTCTTGTGGGCTGGGGATTTCATCCAATGATTAAAAGGGGAGTTCACCCTTAACTGGCAGCCTTCACACATATACTCTGGGGTACTGATTATTCCATACAATCAGACTTGCATAGAACACTGGTTGAATATAGTGACCGATTTTGCTTTCAGATACAATTGCAGTATACCTCAGATTTTGTTTCTGAAGAAAGTCAAATCATTTAGTTGCGTGTATTCATTTAGTTTTTGCCTGGGTTTTCGAATGTGCTCAAATAAATATGTTGTTAATAAAACTGATTTAACATTGCATATTCATAGTGCACATAAGTGTGTCAGTTTTTGTTGATTGCCCTTGATTGCTTGGACACTAATACATGAGCAGAAAAAGGCTGGTCTTGAATGATAATCGGAGGTTACTTGTTTCCCAGGTTTTTATGCATTTATGATATGCGCTGGATTTCCACACGAAATATGTTAACATTTGACAAGAGGAAGAGAATTCTTTAACTGTCTTAACTGTTTGTGTTATTGTGGAAATGGTAGTTACTGCTGAACTAATTAGTTATGGCCAGTTGCCCAAAGACTCATAAATCCTGTTTCCCTGGGTCACAATTTAGTGATACTCTTTGTTCTTACTGCCCATTTTTAGTTCCAAAATAGATTTTTTAAAGCTTATTTGTAAGAACACGGTATTTTACTTTTCACAAATAAAACTTTAAGAAGCTGCAAAAAAAAGTGTATTGTGTTTTTGTTTTAAGCAACTACCATAATTCGTTATGCACAGCACCATTATTGCTGTAATGTAACCCACTAGCAGAATAATTATCAATGTAACATCTCTGTGTCAAAGTCGATTCTGGGATTCTACGGACACTGATAAGAGTAAAGCGAAGACGAAGCGCAGTGGCAGGTGCTGCACTGCTGGACATCACTTTCCTAAGATGAGACGCCAAGTTCATGTAGGTGGTGGGATTCGTCTCAGTCTCGTCTCATTGTGCGGCAGTAAGATACTTAAAGGCATTAGTGACAGTATAGTGTAAATAATCATTACACCGTGTATGGAGCCTGCGCATGCACATCAATTAATTAATGTGGAGAAAAGCAAGGTGCTTTGTCTTTTGTCCTGCATTTACCAGTTATTTATACCGATCATTTGTGTGAGGGATTAAAGCTGCCGTTCTGAAGATACAGTATCTGAAATACGTTGTTTTGCGTGTATTGAACACTAGGTGGCAGTGCAGTCTCAGTAATTTAGTTGACCGGAGTGGTGTTTTTTTTCTTCCTTTTTTACAGTTAAAGAGAAAGGTTTTTAAGATGCTACATTTACTACCCCTCTCTCATTCTCTCCGTCTCTCGCACGTCTTGCATTTCTCCTGTCATTATCATTCATTTCCAAGCAGATTACCTGGACAAACATGACTTGCCGCCACTGTGGAAAACCATTTTAGAAAATGTCTCCAATCTATTTTGGATAATATGGTCAATGCTAGTTAAAGCCTTTTAAAACCATTAAGTTATGCTCCTCACAATCGGAAGAAATTTTCCAAGACCTTACTCTTATTCAAGAAGAAAGCGTGTTTAGTTGCTTAGAAACAGTGTCTCTTTGTCTTGGTTGGTGGGCTTCATCTGAATGTCATTATATTCTGTCATTCTGCATAGACACAACATCCTCTTCTTTTCTGCCAATATTTATTACTTTATATATATATATATATATATATATATATATATATATATATATAT